AGTACTGTAGCTGCTTTGCCAATGCATTTGTCCAGCTCGACATCTAGGGAGAGAGTGTCAGAGAGCATTGAGCCAAAGTACACAAAGTCATGAACAACCTCCAATTCTTGCATGGAGATGGTAATAGAAGGAGGTGAGTCCATGCCCTGACCTTGTGTTTTCTTCAGGCTGATTGTTAGTCCAAAGTCTTGGCAGGCCTTGCTAAAACGATGGAGCTTATTCAATGCATCCAACTGGTCTACCTGCTTCCATATTTACTTTCAGGTACGAAACACCGAGGCTGAAAGGTAAGCTGCAAATTCACAAAAAAGGATGCCGGGACAATCTTGCCTTCCTTCAATCCCTGGGATCTGAGAGCGATGAGGGAGGATGGCCAATGCCAGTTCCTCATTTCCCTCCCGGCGTTCCAAGATTTAATTTGAATACCAACTTGTTAATTTTTTAATTCAAAGCCTGTGCCCTCATTTATGTGTGTTGTCTTCTGTTGCTGAGACATGCTTTCTGCATCCAATTTCACCTGATATATGCTTTCTTTTCTTTTCTTTTCTTTTCTCTCTTTTTTTGCAAGTACATGCCTTTGGGGGAGTTATTTCCAACAGCGATCATCCCTTGCCTTTGTGCAGATGTGTGCCATTTCTTTGGATTGACGCCTTTCTCTCCTTGCCAGCAGGGAAATGCCTCTTGTCGCAAAATGGAGAGAAAGGCCATTCCTTGGGGTGGGGGATTGCGGGGAGAGAGAAACCGTGTTCAGGCTGATCGGTCAGTTTGGAAAACAAGACAGGTGCCAACACCCATTCCTAATTCAGAAGAACACTCAAGGGCTTCCACACCACCCACTTTGGATGGGTGGTGACCCACTCCTCTTTAAATGCCCTGAAGCTCCTCCTCCTTTTTTCTGATTGGCCAGGAAGGCACAGGCCACACCCCTCCAGCATGGAGCATCGGAGGCTTACCTTTTGCTGCTCACCTGTTTTCAGCATCCTGAGATGCTTCGAGAGGGGAAGGTAGGTGAGGTCTGATTCTGGCTCATCCATAAAACTGGAGCAAAACCATTGTTTTTTTACCCAGCCGAGGCTCTGCATGTGCCAGGATTTGGCCCTGATACCTGGGTTTTCCTCTCTTTTTTTCCCTACTGGCCATGGATGCCAACCAGGTGCCGAGTTCAATTTTTCTCACCCCTGAAAATCTCCAGAGTGAGTTTCCACCTGTCAGCAATTAAAAGGGAACTTTTTCCAAGCTCTTTTTCTCTAGAAATTAAGGGCTGGCGTGCCTTGCCGGGAGCTGATCTGCTGAATGAACCCGCGGAAGGCTGGCTGAGAGGTAAGTTTCCCCCTTTCCAGCGGTAGCTGAGCAGAGAAAGTAAAGGGAGCCACACTGTTGACTTTTCAAAACAGACCCTGACGGGGAGGCAAAGAAGCTGTCATTCCTCACTGGCTTCTCGGGTGGGGGGGTCCAACAGGTGGTGCAGGTTTTTCACAGGTCATGGAAGAACCTTTGAAACCCGTTCGCCCCCGTGGGGAGAAGTTGGGTGAAGAGGACGCAGGCAAAAGATGGAGCCTTTGTATATTGGGGAGACAACTCGAGAGAAGTTGCCATCTCTTTTCCAGGTGGTCGTCATTGCTGAAAAATAGGATCAAGGCAAAAATAAGTATATGTGTGTGCCTGTGAGCGTATGACAGGTACATGGGCGGTACAGGTGTGTGTATGAGAGAGGAAGTCATAGGGAAATTCTGTGTTTCAATTCTGCTCTGGACACACTCTTCATTGTCATATGCAAAAATCAATGGTAGATCTAGGAAGGGACCTTGAGGTCATCCAGACTGACCCGCTTGCCCAGTGTACGAACCTTGCAGCTAGAGAATTGGCTACCCAGCTTGTAGTGAAAAAGCCCTTGGCAAAGTTCTCAGCTCTCAAACAGATCTTATAATTCTGGTGTTTCTTCTCCTAACGTTGATCCTAAATCTGCCCTCTTTCTTTTCTCACCACATACTGGGAGCTGTCATCAGTGGAAGATGGTGACGATGCCTGTGCGTTTTTAAGACCCCCAAATTTTGAATTAAAACCCGGCCAGAAAAAGCTAGAGCAAGGCGGGAGGTTTTGGAAGACAGAAGGAACAGGCAAAGACAAAGTTAAGCGCTCTCCCCACCCATGGTGGCTGAGGACTCCCATTCCAGAGGTCCGGTGCATCCGCTCCGGGTTCTAGTCCACACTAAAATAGATGAGACAGAATCTAGTTTGGGAGAGGATTCAGCCACATGGAGAGCGGCAGAGTGAAAAGTAAAACCTGGAATGGATTCAGAAGGCTCACAAAAATTGGAGTCTCTCTCTCTCCCCCCCCCTCTCTGTCTCATACGCACACACACACACAAAGGGGAAAAAAGGAGGAACTCACAGTCACACAACTGCCTTAAAAAACAAACACACACACACCACAACCCAATCTCTCCATTTTGTGTATTTGTATGTGTGTTAAAGCTGTCAAGACACATGGCCTTTGCCACGCAGCTGGCTCTGGTGAGGACCGCCGTTTTGCTCCTTTCTCTCCACTCATCAGGTAAGAGCAGAGGTGTGTGAAGAGTTCTCTCTCTTTTTGTGCTACCTTGAAAAATAAAATAGAAATTTTTTTAAAAAGCTCTTCTATATATAAGGTGGGTGTTGATTCTATGAGATAAAGGTGACTTTTTCAAGAAGGCGATCTAAAGTATGAGTTCATTCTTTCAGTGTATGCCCTGCGTGGCATAATAATAAAAATATTTTCGGGGGGGAGGACGACTACAACTTCCAGAATTCTCCCCATAAGGATACTGGGATTTGTAGTGTGCAGAAATAAACAAAATCTTGCTCTACACTTCACAATCTAGAACAGAGGCTCCCTCCATAGCAAAATCCACCTGTACAAAATTCTACATGTTTTTTAAATTATTATTTTTTTATTTTTTTGTGGTTTTTCGTAGCATTTGATGACAAGAGGTTGCTTTAGAAGACATATAAAAACAAAAGGATAGTAAACTGATCCTCCAAAAATCCAATTTTATGTCATTTTCTGATCTTTCCCCTGATTCCCCCCTTGTGGCCTTCCCTAATCTGACCCCCACCAAAGACTAAACCCTAGATCTGACTCCGATTCCCATCATCCTTAATCTGTGTGAAAATAGGCCAGGAGAGGCAGACATGGGCTCCAGAGTAGGGTGGCTGCTTATACTTAACCAAGCAACAACCACCAAGAGAACCATGTGGTCGTCAACACAATTACAAACGCAGGAGATGTGATACCTTTATTTTTAGACCAAAAATCAAATATTCATCACAAGCTTTCATGAATAAATTCACTTCCTCAGGATGAGCAAGCCTACAAATTTAGTATAAAAATTGCATTGTTGTTGCTGTTGTGAGCCATCCCTTGCTTTTCTCCATCCTGAGGGTTTCATCTTCCAGCACTATCTCTTATTTCATAAGGGACTTGTGACTCATGGCAACCCCATGAATGAGTACTCTCTCAAATGTCCCTTGCTTTTCTCCATCCTGAGGGTCTCATCTTCCAGCACTATCTCTTATTTCATTTCACACTGTCCCAGCCATCTAGTTGCCTCTGACTCACAGCGAACCTATGAATGAGCGGCCTCCAAAAATCTCCTGGCCTCCACAGCCCTGCTCAGCTCTTGCAAACTCAACAGTCATGGCTTCCTTTAGGGATTTGGTCCATCTCACATTGGGTCTTCCTCATTTCCTGCTTTCCACCTTTCCCAGCGCTATGATTATTATGAACCTACATGAGCTGATTTATAGGCACAGATATAAAAGTAGCAGATGACTTTAAAAATGGAACAGGTGTCCATCTCTCACCCAGGCAGGCAGGGCTGACTGTAATCAGGCAATCCATGTGCCTGCTGTAAAGTCTGCTCCCTAGATGATAGGTGATTCTAAGGATCTTGATCTCAGACCTGAGTGGTTCCTGAATCCTGATATGTAGGTTAGACTTCCATTAAAAAGGAGCCACTTTCGAAACAGGGACTCTCAAACAGAGGACTGTTCTGTGCAAAGGATGACCCACAACAACCCTGGCAAATTGAAGCCACCGGGAAAGGCCACCCCGCTTTGCCTGCCCACTAGGCCATGCTCCCTTTTAAAGAAAACGAGTCGTCATGATGGTCTCTTGCTTAACAACTGAGTGAGTCCTGGCAGGTAGGGAAGAATCGAGCCCCACTTTGTGAGGGGGACACCATGGACACACAAACACACACACACACAAACACCGGTCACCCGATCTGATCATGCTTCCAAACCGCCCCTCTCCTCCGCCTCCTACAGCAGCCACGCGTGGTCCAGGGAAAATCCAAAGGCTCCCTCCCGGTGTGGCTGGCTGGTTGGCCCGAGTGGGTGAAAATTGGGCTCGGTGGGGAGCCTGTGTTCCACCCAGCAGGAACAGTGCAGAACCGATGCTGAGCTGTGATTAGAAAGGAAGTGGGGAGCTCGGGCAGTGCGTGCGCGCTGTCCTTTGAGATGATTCGCCCTCGCCTCCCCTTTTCCTGCTCCACCACTCTGTCGTTCCTCACCTTTGGTTGATGCTCAGAGAGAGAGAGAGATGTGTTTTTTAAATTCTATTCTGGCCCTGTAAGCCAATCTAGTCTTCCTTCCCCACTGGGGAAGCGTCTGGGCCTCTGAGCTTGACCCCACCTGGGACACTTATTGGATTCATCTCCTCACCCCCTTGTTTTTGTTTTTTTATGAACCACCTTCCTCGCACGTAATACAGCTCTGTTTTCTTCTGCACCGGCTTCCTGGAAGCAGGAGGGAACAGCCTGTCCCTGTTTGCAAACGAGCGAAACAAGCCGTGGCTCTCCTGGCGTGTCCTGTTTCTTGGGACACTGGCCTTTGCCAGGCCCAGCTCCGGGGTGGGGTGGGGTGGGGAGACGTGGCATTTCAGGTGGCTTGGTAGGAGCGAGGAAGCAGAGACAAAACCCGGGGGGGCGGAGGATGGACCGAACCTGTCCAAACAGCGTGGCATCGCTCGTCACTTTCTCGGATGCTTCGTAGAGGAAGTTCTGGTGAAGCCACGGGGCAGGTTCCCCAGCCGGCTTGTGGCTCGGGCAGATGGGGTATTGCTGCCCCACTCCACCTGCCCCTTAGTGGCCCGTCTGCATCAAAGATCTTGGCAGAGACAGAACCTGTCACCTTCCCAAGGTTTTTAGACATTTCTTTCTTGCATTCTGCATGTCCTTTATGCCTGGACTCAGGGGGCCCCGCAACCACACTTAGATCGATAGATTTTTCAACCCCACGCCCTGTGGTTGTCATCCTGTTGTGCACGCTTGCGTGCTCAGCCGTGATGACCTCCGATGAAGTGGCAAAGGGTCCTGGGTGGAAGGCGGTCCAGCACGGAGTAAAGGTGATTGTTAATCCCAAGGGAGGCTTGCAGCCGAGAAATCAGAAGACGACGGAGACTCGGAAAGGGCAGCCATGAAGGAATTAGAAAAGGTCATCAAGTGGAAGGATCTGTCCCTGGAGGCCAAGATCATCCACACTCTTGTGTTTCTCCAGTCACCACATCTGGGCGCGAAAGCTGGGGAGGAAAGAAAGCCGACCGGGGGAAAAAGGGAATTGAAATGTGTGGCTGGAGAAGAGCTCTGTGGATACCCTTGGACGACCAGAAAGAGGAACAAGTGGGTCCTAGAGCCAATCAAGCCTCCACTTGCTTTAGAGGCAAAAACGTTGAAGGTGTTGGGAAAGGTGGGAGGCAGCAGGAAAAGAGGAAGACCCAACACGAGATGGACCAACTCCCTAAAAGAAACCATGACTTTTGAGTTTGCAAGAACTGGGCAGGGCTGTTGAGGACAGGACATTTTGGAGATCATTCCTTCCTTGGGTCGCCATAAGTCAGAGGCAACTTGACATCACATACCTGCAGGAACACCAAAGGTGGTCTGGAGGTGCACACCACTCATATGCAATGTGGCAAAGCTTGTGCCTGAAACTCCCAAAGGAAGCATTTGATTGAAGCCTTTTAGCGTTGACGGTAGCATCGTGGCCACTGGACACACAGAGAGATGAGCGGCAGGATTTCAACTATTGTTTCTTGTGTTTTTCCCCCTTAGAGAACCCCCTCAAATAAATCTGTGAATCTCAAGGTACCCCTCACCTACAAAAAACGCATACAGGCCAGTAACATGATCAGATTTCTTAGGAAAACATCAAAATAAACAGGTATGGGGAAAGGCTAGCTAGGAGCTTCCTGTTTGGACAGGAAATGGAAGATAGGTCTTCCTGCTTTGGCCTTTCTTCCAGGTGAGTCACACGAGGTTGATAAAGGCAACACGTCCCATCATCTCTGGACTGTGCGGAGAGTGCTCAAGGATGGTGGGACCTGGAGTCCGGCCAATGATCGGGAAAGCTTGCTTAAGATTAGTGGAGGGAATATAATTTATCTGGGTTGCTGCCCAACATCATATTGTCAAGCTAAGGAAAGTTTTGGGGTGTGAGAAGTGGATTTTTGCACAGGACTCCCAAGTTTCGTTTTGCTGGGTCTGTACTCCAAGCAAACACCCCGGGTCATCATTCCTGTGTCAAAATGTCCACCTTTCGTATTCAGCTGTCGTTGATAATGATTTCAAAAGGAATGAAATACTGTAAAGTAAAAGGGTATTTTTAAAACGTCTCCAAAATTGGTTCTCGATATCTGTTCGTCTCCATCAGAGGCCACGTGCTTCTGGCAGACCCTTTGCAGCTCAGCATGAGTTTCGTCTCTCAGCTAGGCTGGCGTTGCCCATGGCAGAGAAAGGAGATGTTTCACCCTGGGCGTAAACGGATGGCTATTTGGGGAAATGACTGAGAGCCTCTTGTGCCATGCTCGGCTTCCGGGAGTGTTGGGGGGTTGTGCCAAAGCGTCCCCCGTGTTATGCAGCAAATATGTGTCGGGTGGCGTGGAATTGTTTGGAAACACAAAAAGCAGGATCTGTGTTGGTTCCAACGAGTCACTCCTGCCTGGGCCCAACCGGTGGCACTCAGCTGTTTTAATGTTCTCATTTCATGTCGCCCTCTGCTTTGGGGCCCTTAGCAATATCATGGGAGGTTTAACGTTTCCCCCTTGAGCAAACGGCCACTAATCCATCCATCTGTCTTCTTCACTGGCAAAGCAAAGCTCCGATCCTGGTGCCCCCTCCGCCTTGCTATTTAATCTCCCTGAATATGCAGACGTAAAGCATGTGTACTTTACACTAATGATCAGATTGATCTTGGCCCAGTCTTAAGCGGAAGATAATTATGAGTCAATGATTTTTGTTTTACAAGTGGGAAAATGGAGTCACACACTGGGAGTCCCCCAGGATGTAGGGGTACATCAGTGTCCCCCCTTTTTAAAGGAAAAATTGGACGCTGCTCTGTGCCGTCTGTGTTGCACTTACGGTGGCTGTTGCTGACTGGCCAGACTGCTGTGACATCAGAGAATGCTCGCTCGTGGCATGAAGAGTCCGTGTGGCCGCTGTTCAGAGAGGCACAGAGGGATTGCAGCAGCCCATACTCTGTGAGGGAAGGGAATGGTCACCGTTTGGCCGACTTCAGGCTTGCTGATCAGTTTTGCCAGTCCCATTTACAGACACAACCAAGGAAACATTTTCTAGGGTGATACATCTAGGATGATTGTTCAGGCGGTTAGGAAAAACATTGCCAAGGACTTGCTGAATACTGGCCGTTCTGGAGCCTGTCTTTTAGGTTTCATAAACAAGTTCATCCTGAGAGCTGTTTTGTATTTTGTTTTCAAGAGCAATCCATAGGGACAAGACTTTGGGAGTCTTGGTACTACAAATCCCATAGCTCTCTGTTTTGGGACCGCAACCTTACAAGGACCTAAATAGGGCTCACCTGGGCGAAAGGCCTGGAGGGGAAGGCTCTGAGACTGAGCTCGGCCTAACTCTACCTAAGCTTCCTGTTCCGGCCCCAGTGCAAGCTGGGAGCTTGTTTTCTGAACAGGAAGCTAGGCCGAGCTAGACCTAGTTTTGCCCCCCAAGCCCTCCAGTTCAGGCCTGTCTCCCAGGTGAGCCACTTTTAGGTTCTGTGTAAGGTGTCAAGTGGAACTCTCAGATTTAGGGGTTTTGTTGTCCAAACTGTTAAAAATCCCATCCCCTGCCATCCATATTGAAAGCTATCTCTAAGCTAACTTGTTTGCACGTCTCTTTTATTTCTCAGGAGAGATGCCATTAATGCCCAAAATTGACTATTGTGTCAGTTTTTGGGCTAAAAACATTACGTGCTATTGGGATCTTCTGCCAGAGACACATTCCCCCATAACGTACACCCTCCATATTACAGAGTAAGTATATCTTTGGTATGAAAAAGGTCGTTAGGAACAGGTGGCTGATTAAAACAGTGGAAAGGTGCACTTCTGAAAGTCATTTGTTATGTCCTTGCATCCTAAGCCCCTCTCCAAAGTATCCTGTTATGAAAACTGGTTTAGCAACATGTCCCGCTGTTTATTATACTGCCGAAAAGTAGCGAAATTACCTGCTGTTCTTTGCAAAAACAACATTGTTATGCCTTGTTACTATTATCAAGTAATATACCCATGTTGTTGTTTAGTCGTTTAGTCGTGTCCGACTCTTCGTGACCTCATGGACCAGCGCACGCCAGGCCCCCCTGTCTTCCACTGCCTCCCGGAGTTGGGTCAGATTCACAATAGTCGCTTCGATGACACTGTCCAGCCATCTCGTCCTCTGTCATCCCCCTTCTCCTCTTGCCTTCACACTTTCCCAACGTCAGGGTCTTTTCCAGGGAGTCTTCTCTTCTCATGAGATGGCCAAAGTATTGGAGCCTCAGCGTCAGGATATAACCATATACTGTACTGGTATTACTTACAAACATGTTATGTCCAAGGCCCGGCTGTGGTATTTGATGTCAATAATATAAATGAAGCACTGCCTCTTCATAAGGGATGGGAGTTTTATGATTTTGGGGCTACAAATCCCATCATTCCCCATTCTGGGTGATCCACCTAACTCACACTTAAATGTGTCTCTCCTGTGAGAAAAGGCCTTGACTGGAAGGATTTCAGTGTCAGCTAGGCCTAGTGCCACTCAGGCTCCTGTTCCTGCCTCAGTGCAAACTGGGAGCGTTCTTTCTGAACCAGGAGCTAGGCCTAGCTTTTCAAGTCTTCCAGTTTAGGCCTCCCCCCACCCCACATTTGGGTGCCTGTAAGGTATTATAAATCAGGTTGAATTCCCCGATCGGAGAATTACAGGATGTTTATTCCAACAAATCAGAAAAGTCCATTCCTATTATTCATTTTGCAGACGACAAGGATGGAAAGATGTTGTGAAGACCAGCAGATGAACCAACATGTACAAAACGATGGATGGTGTCGAGAAAAGTTAGACAAGGAGACCCTCCCCCCAGCACCAAATAGTAGAACCTGATTGAGGGGCGAAGGGGGAAGGACTTACTTGCTTTGTGTATAGCTAAACTGTGGAACTCCCTGCTATAGGATGGAGCCATGGCAACCCTGCTACAGGATGGAGCCATGGCGACCCATTCGGACAGCTTTAAAGGAGGAGGGAACACATTTTAAAGAGACTTGGACAAGCATTTGGAAGATGAAGCTGATCAACAATTAGTCATCGCAATATTAGCTCCAGAAGAAAAGGAGCGACGGCGTCAGGCCCCATCTACGCACCCCATCTGGCACTTAAGCATGGCTTTTTATTCTCAAGATCCCTCTGTGCTGATTCACATCCTGCCTACGCAGTTTTCCAGGGGCTTGTGTTGAACCAAGGTTGGTCCTTGTGGTCCTCAACCCCTCTTTGATCAATGTGGGCTTCTCGCCGGATGCTACGCTTTTCCTGGATCAAGAGCGTGGCTAAAGAAGTACTCAAGTGAAGGAATAAAAATCACGGAGTCATAAAAAACACACCTAATTCATAAAGGAGAATGCTTTGAGCCCGTAAAGAGAAACAAAGAAGGGAGTGTGTAGATGTGGCCTCGCTGATCTTCCCCAGTGACACAGAGGGACATTGCTCCCTTTATTCCGGAGCAAATACTGTGACTACTAATGGTTGATCAGCTTTATCTTTGATGAATTTCTCCAATTTTCCTTAAAATGTGTTGCATCCTCCTTTCAATTTGTAGCCATTGCTTCATCCAGTAGCAGAGAGTTCCACAGTTTAGCTATGAGCAGTAATAGATTGTCAGAAGCTGATCGCTGAAGGAAGAACAAGTGGGGAGAAGCTTGAGTGGCTCTAAAATGTGGACGACAAGTGAGGACAACCATAATAATAATAATAATAATCATAATCATAATCATCATCATCATCATCATCATCATCATCATCATCATCATCATCATCATCATCATCATCATCTTAGAACAGCACAGCTGGAACGGACCCCTAAGCATCATCCAGTGTCACCCCAGTCAAGGAGGCCCGGTGGGGGATTCGAACTCCCAGCCTCTGGTTCAGAGACCTCAACCTACTGAGCTATCCAGCTATGTCCAAAGTCAGCTTAGCTAGTATGAGATCCAAACTCCGGTAGGAGAGAAATCACAAAGAAAAAGGTCAAAGAGATCTGTGTGGAAATGCCACCATTAAAATCAATTGTACTAGAAAAATGTTAGAATCATACCTGTTAACAACAGAATTGTCCTCTAAAACAAGGTGTGCCTTCTGTAATTTATTTTAGGGTAAAAGACTTGCATTTTTTTAAAAAAATTGTGATTTAATTTTGATTTATTTAATTTTTTTAAAGTAACTGATTACTGAATTGTGGAGAGGTTTGGAAGATTTACTGCAGACTGCTTTCTGTAGAACTTGTTCCTGTTAAGCAGAGACGAACCTCTCATTCCAGAGAGTCTGGCCGATGCCGGCAAGATTTTGGCCGTCCCAGCCGGTGCGTTGCCAGGTGGGGAGAGCGCTCCTGCGGCGTTCCCGTGGAGAATCTATTTGCTTTCTACAAAATCCAGCTCACCGCAGAGAGCCAGGGGGTCCAAGTCCGCTCTCTGGAAAAATGCATTCAAGGGATGGCTGTCGGTAAGTGTGGAACCAAGAAGCGTGAGAAAGGCTGGGTGGCTCCAATTTCATAGTGGGGGAGAATCCACTTCCTAAATTTTAAAAGGTTTTAAAAGATCTCTCCAAGCGGCTGCCCTCTGTCCCCCAGAAAAAGTTGCGATATCTTGGGGGGAGATCCTTTGATATTCAGCATGAAACCCAGAGGGGATCCTTTGCTTCCATAAAATGGGAGTCACCGCTTTTCAAGTAGAAAGGATGATGGGAAATTTACTTTTTAATTTATCGTAAACTGTCCCGTTAGAGCAGAAGCACTCCGTTGGGTGGTTTGACCACAAGTTAAAACATAGATTAAACAAATGATAACGGAAAGTTAAAACACTAACGGCATAAAAACCAAATGGCGCCAGAGCTGGCTTTCCAAGGAGGTAAACAATCTGTCAACCAGGGCTGGGAGGACAGGTCTCCATGAAAAGCAGCGTTTTGAGTTAGAAGTTTTGAGTTAGGCATACCTCCTCTGGGAGGTGATTTCCTAAGGTTGGGGCCACTGTGGAGAAGGCCCTGCCTCTTGTCGAAGACTTTTGGGTCTCCCTCTGGATGGCCACCCCGAGAATCCTGGTCTGGGAAGATCTGGTGGGTCAGGCAGATGACACTGGGGAGAGACACTCCGACAAGCAATGTGGTCCCAAACTGTTGTGCTGTGCCACAGATCCAAAAGTGGCCACATGGTAGAAGGTTGCTCTAACCACTACACTACACACTCCTTGGGGTGTTCTACACTAAGTGGGAGAGATTGTGTGGGTTCCTCTCTTCCTATGTCCTCTTCTTCTTCCCATTCTACCTCCAAGTAAAACTGAGCCCACCGACGGTGAACGCCCTCCTGGCAAACCAGAGTCGCTGCTTTCAGCTGGAATGGAGCCTCCCGGGTGACGAAGTGGTGTCTGTCTCGGAGGCCCAGTACGAGATCCAGTACCGTGATGTGGCCGAGAAGTCCTGGGCGCAGGTAACGGGGTGGCTTCAGGGAACACGGGTCTTGTGACGGGGAGATCTAAGGAAGGGTAGCGAGAATTACTTCCAAATTTTATAATCACTCTTTTCCTTCAAGCTTGACCTGTTTGACAACGTAGGCAGGTAGGAGAATCTTGATGACACCATAAATCCACACAGCACGTCAAATCCAGGATGCATACAGTGAGGACAAGAAAGGACAGAGATAGACGCAGGGGACAACGTAGGCAGGTAGGAGAATTTTGATGACACCATAAATCCACACCGCACGTCAAATCCAGGATGCATACAAGTGAGGACAAGAAAGGACAGAGATAGACGGATGCCTATCAACGTTTTGGATAAGCACCTATCAGGGGTATTGGCAAATTTTTGGATCTGAGTCTCAAGTCCTGAGTCACAGAACCATAGAAATCCATAGAAAAGTAAAGTTGGAAAGGAGCCTACAAGGCCATCCAGTCCAACCCCCTGCTCAACACAGGAATACCATCAAAGCAGATCCACCAGGTGATCATCCAGGTTTTTCTTGAAGGCCTCCAGGATTAGAGCACTCATCAACTCCTGAGGTCATGGGTCCCACTGTCGTACTGCTCCAAGAGTTAGGAAGTTTTTCCTGATATTCAACCGAAATCTGGCTTCCTTTAACTTGAGCCCATGGTTGTGTGTCCTGCACTCTGGGATGATCAAGAACAGATCCTGTCCCTCCTCTGTAGGACAGCCTTTCAAATATCTGAAAAGTGCTATCCTATCGCCCCTCAGTCTTCTTTTCTTCAGGCTAAACGTGCCTGATTCTTTCAGCCTTTCCTCATAAGGCTTGGTTTCCAGCCCCCTGATCATCCTTGTCGCCCTCCTCTGAACTTGTTCCAATTTGTTAACATCCTTCTTGAAGTGTGGTGTCCAGAACTGGAACACAGGACTCAAGATGAGGCCTAACCCCTGCTGAATAGAGGGGGACTAGCATCTTGTTGGATTTGGAAACTCTGCTTCCATTAATGCAGCCTAAAATCGCACTGGCCTTTTTTGTAGCCGCATCACACGGTTGGCTCATATTTAGCTTGTGATCTATGACAATTCCAAATATATACCTGGCATTAGCTCAGGTGTGGGTTGTTCTTTGCCTACCACTCCCATGAACTCTAGGCACACTAGACCATGGAAAGAGATGATGGGATTTGTAGTCTGAAAACACCTGGATGTTCACAATTGCCTGTACCTTTCTTCCTATGAAGGTCAATTTTACAGCAGCTGAGAATGGGCAGGCCTTTGCCAATGTCTGTGGAGTTTACCCCTTCACCAACTACTCCGTCCGGGTACGAGCCAAATACCTCCTCAGCCATTCCCTCCAAGGTGATGGGAATCCCTTCTGGAGCAACTGGAGCCCAGAGAGATATGTGAGAACCCTGCCTGCAGGTAAGGGAACTCAACTGCTTTGTAATTGAATTTTAATTGTTGTAAGCCGCCCAGAGACCTTTGGGTAGAGTGGGCGGCATATAAATCAATCAATCAATCAATCAATCAATCAATCAATCAGGACAACATATTCCATATTGCAAGGGGTTGGAGGTGGTCACTAATTTATCATTTAAATGCTTGTGGATGTAGCACAGTGGCATAAATCACAGCAGCATATTGCCACTAATTAATGAGCCGCCACTTGCGTGATGTCACCTGTGCACAGTGAGGAATAGAAGCAACAACTCTTTAATTAGAGGCAACTTGTTGATGCAGTTCATGCCACTGCACTTAACACACTTGTAAATAACCAATAGGATTATGTAACTTTTTCTGAGCTCTGGGATTAAGGTAAAACTACAGCCTTTTGGGAACACAGAAGAGAGTTCCCAAAAACTGCTGCTCTGCAGGCATGCTCTGATCTCAGAATCACTTCAGACTTTTCCCCATCCCCGTTCCTCTGACCCACCCAAGGTCGAACTCTATGGCCCCAATACTGAAGAGGAGAGGGCTCTGATACTCCTCAGATTTTAACCCTCTTGTTTTGCTTTTATCTTCTGCTTCTTGCATACCTCCAATGGCAGTTCCCTCCCGAGGACCGGCGCTCTGGAGGAAGTTCGGAATCTCCGGTGCCGATGGGAAGAGAGATGTCATCCTCATGTGGAAGGTAAGAAAAGAAGCAAAGCAAAGAAGGGTATGGAAATCTGATTGGGAGTCCCATGTCCTTTCCTCTTACTTTTTTCCCCCTTGTTGTTGTTTAGTCGTTTAGTCGTGTCCGACTCTTCATGACCCCATGGACCAGAGCACGCCAGACCCTCCTATCTTCCACTGCCTCCCAGAGCTGGGCCAAATTCATGTTGGTCGCTTCGATGACACTGTCCAACCATCTCATCCTCTGTCGTCCCCTTCTCCTCTTGCCCTCACACTTTCCTAACATCAGGATCTTTTTTCCTATTTAGCCCTTAAAACCAAAGGAAGCCAACGGCGAGATCTTGATCTACTCTCTCTTCTCTCAGCGAAAGGGGGAGTCTGCTGGTCCACAGTGTCTCACTCAAGAGTTGCAGTGCACTCTCCGACTCCTGATGGGAGTGGGTTATACTTTCTCCATTACCGCAAGAAACATAGCAGGTGTATCCCCTGTTACCAGTCTCATTGTCCTACCATCTGATGGCCAGGAAGGTAAGGCTTCCATGTCCACGTTCGTATCTAGTTACTTTGAGGAATAATGGGGGTATGATGCAATGAGTTGCTTTTCCTACATCAGTGGTTTAGACATCTGGCTGTAGAGCCAGAGGCTGGGAGTTCAATTACTCAGTCTGCCTCCCTGACAGAGGCTGGATTTGTTGATTATTTTGTTATTGTCTTCCTGCGTTGAGCAGGGGGTTGGACGTGATGGCCTTGTAGGCCCCTTCCAACTTTACTTTCTGTGATTTCTGTGATTCTGTGACAAGGAACAGATCACTTTTTAGGAAATCAGTTACTTTTAATACATCATTTTCCAAGCTAGGATTTTGATTAAAAAGGAAGTAAAGAGCTACTTTGAAATGGCTTAGCTATAACGGTCACCAACTCTTTGCAGAACCTTGGAAGAGCATGTGTTAAAAGTACAGCCATAACCCTGTTCCTTATTACATGATCATATAAGGGCAGTTATGTGCACATTTCCCCTGCTGTCAACAAGCTCTCCTTCATGTGCCTGGTTTTCAGACCGACCATGTAATAGGGGCATGTCAAAAGAGAGGAAAACTGTCATCCAATTGCCCTTAAACACAGGAAAAACATGTACGGTGGGAGCCCCTTATCCATGGGATCAATATCCACTGATTCATTTATCCATGGTCTGCAAATATTAAATATATTAAAATAAAAATTATAGAAATATATACTGTATTTCTAAATATGCAGAGACCGCTACTGACTAGTAGAGGGAGTCAGAGACCATGCTATGAACAGCATTAACTAGAGCAGAGGTCCCCAACCTTTTTGACACCACAGACCAGTTGAGCGTGGGGGGGGAGGGGGCTGTCTGTACGTATATGCATGCAGGAGTATGTCTGTGCATGTGTGTGGGTGTCTGTGCGTGCATGCGTCCATGCATGGGTGTGTGGGTTCATTATGATCCACATTTTCTAGCATCCATGGGGGGGGCGGTGGAGTTGGAACTGATGTCCCACAGATACAGAGATCCTACTGTACTTGTTTCCAAACTCGGATAGCTGCAAATCATTTATCTTCTAGAACTATCCTCCACGTTCCCAGTTCTCGCGTCTCCAGCAACTGACCACAGCTTCCTCTTGCGGTGGTCCCTGCCTCATTTCCCGGCGATCAGATATGTTTTTGAATGGGGCCGGTTACCCAGGAAAAAGGGTGAAGACGTTTTCTGGCATGATCACTCCGGGAACACCAACCACATGGTAATTGCAGGTGAGTGTTGGACAGGGGTGGAAGCGGTATGGACAAAAATCTGATGGATGTTTCCCTGCTTTGTCCTTTCTGCCTTTGTTCCTTTATAATATTCCTTTAATATTCCCCAGCTTTACAGATTCAGTTGTCTTTCTCTGCAGAGGCAATCATGCCAGGAAATCTGTACAGCCTTAAGGTCTTTGTTCTCATACATGGCAACGTCTGGGCCTCCGGTTCTACCAGTGGTTATTCAAAGCAGACGGGTAAGTGGGGCCATCTTTCATTGTTCCCTGTTTTCACTGTTCAGACTCTTGCTGAACCCCTGTTTGTGCAAGTTCCATTTATTTGAAAAATAAATATTCCCACCTCCTTCTGAGGCTTCTACAAGTAACCCCTTTCATCATTGAGAACCCAGGCAGCTGGAGGACAGGAGAAGGAAGTCTTTAATGACCAGATGTTGGTGGATAAAAAGTCATCTCACTCTTTTCTTTTGTTTCTTTTTGTCCCAGCTCCACTTCGTCTACCGACTTTATATCCATCCCAGATCTGGAAAACCGAGGTGGCATTGCAGTGGGAGATGCTCCCACTGGAGGAACGGGGTGGCGTGATCAGAAACTACACCCTATGTTACAAGGAAGAGGGGGAGAATGAGCGGGGTAAGGAGAGCGCAGGAGCTTCTTGGCGGATTATGTTCTGCTGTGGTTTGGTGACCAGCCAGAGATGGGTTGAAAAAGCTGAAATTATCTGTAGAATATCGTAGTGGGTACTGTATTTAGGGATGTGGTGGCATTGCGGGTCAAACCGCAGAAGCCTCTGTGCTGCAAGGTCAGAAGACAAGTAGTCGTAAGATTGAAACCATGCAACGGAGTGAGCTCCCGTTGGTCGTCCCAGTTCCTGCCAACCTAGCCATTTGAAAGCATATAAAAATATGAGTTGATAAATAGGGACCACCTCGGTGGGAAGGTCACGACATTCCATGTCTAGTTGCGCTGACCACGTGACCACGGAAACTGTCTTCGAACAAACACTGGCTCTACGGCTTGGAGATGGGGATGAGCACCACGCCCTAGAGTCGGACACGACTGGACTAAATGTCAAGGGGAACCTTTACTTTTATCTTACCCTATTTAACTCCTGGAGAATCTCACTTTGTTTTGATCCACTCAAGTTCCTGAAACTTATGGATGCAAAGACAGAGTAACCACAGGAGTTCGGTCCCAAGCCCCCTCATGGATGCTGAAAAAAGCAGAACACTATTTTAATAGTAAATGCTATACATAACATGGTACTCTCGCTTCCTTTAATGGCCAGTTGTGGTAACTCCATAATTAAAACTATATATGCTGGGTGTTTTTTCTTTTAATGTTTTGAGATCGTGGATAAGTGAATCAGCGGATACTGATCCTGTCAATAATGGGGTCCTACTGGCTGGCTGTTTGTTTTTTCCAGGTCTGGGCCGCTAGCCTTCCCTGTCCTTTCATTAATCATGATTTTCTTTGACAAGAAAAGTGAGTATATGCTTCTGGAAACCTTGTACATGGGTCAGCTGCGAGGAGACCTCAGTGATCCACTGACAAACATGGCCATTTCTCAAACCAAAAGGTAGATTTTAGGTTATCCCCAGTTTGGATCATCTGGAAAGGGAAGAATGTGCATTTTTAATGATGGCCCCAGAAAGTCGGAAGGGCAGAAAAGTGGCCCTAGCACCCTCTGAAGTCGTCCGCTCCTAAAAAGGCAGATCTCTGCCCCATTGACCTTACAGTAGGGCTGGGCCATCAATTTTTAAAATTTATTTTATTTATTTCTATAACTATAACAAAGGCAAAATCATATACATAAAACATATAAACTCAAATACAATAATTGTGTTCCCGACGGGACCTCTCTTGCCATCTTCTTCTTCTTCTTCTTCTTCTTCTTCTTCTTCTTCTTCTTCTTCTTCTTCTTCTTCTTCTTCTTCTTCTTCTTCTTCTTCTTCTTCTTCTTCTTCTTCTGTCCTCCTCTCCAGCTAATGACACCATTGGAGAGATGTGGCATAACTTTCCGTTACAGTTTTTTTTTTTAATTACATTTTATTATTTTTATAACATACATAACTACAACAAACAACAACAGGAATACCTACAAAGCAATAACATGTAAAACTAAAAAGACATACACAAGTGACAAAACTAACATATAAGCGGGGAAGTGTTTCTCATACCAGCTTATCTATTATGTAAATTCTGACTACAGAGATAATATATCCATGTGCATCTGCACATGTT